CTCCGTACTGTAATAACACGGACAAGATTTTGTAAGCTCCGTACTGTAATAACACGGACAAGATTTTGTAAACTCCGTATCGTAATAATATAGACACGATTTTGTAAGCTCCGTTCTGTAACAACGTGGACAAGATTTTTGTAAGCTGCGTACTGTAATAACATGGACAAGATTTTGTAAACTCCGTATCGTAATAATATAGACACGATTTTGTAAGCTCCGTATTGTAACAACGTGGACAAGCTTTTTGTAAGCTCCGTACTGTAATAACATGGACAAGATTTTTGTACGCTTCGTACTGTAATAACATGGACAAGATTTTGTTAGCTCCGATCTGTAATAACATGAACAATATTTTATAAACTTCGTACTGTAATAAACATGTTTTAAAGAAATGAAAGTTCACCAGGTGACATTCTCGACATAAGTTTAGCGGATCTTAGTGAATTACTCATGCTAGTTTTACCAAGTAGTTTACTTGTTAGGTAGGAAGTACAGTCGGTAAGTAAGGGGTTACTTAGTGTAATAATGTTTCTTAGAATAACTCCAGTATTCAACTTTAACTCAACTATTTTTGTCTCTCTGTTTTTGTTTTTTACCAAAGATGGTAACCCTCTGGTCTGATTCTCTTGCGAACCATTTTTACGAACACTTGGGAAATATATCAACTAACAAATTCGCGACTGAACCAGCTCATCCAATGAATCAGTTCATGACTGAACCAGCTCATCCAGTGAGTCAGTTCATGACAAAACCAGCTCATCCAATGAGTCAATTCATGACTGAACCAGCTCATTCAGTAAGTCAGTTCATGACTACCATTTCAGGCAGTGTATCAGTTCGTGACTGAATCACCTCAGACAAGGTGACAGTTCATGACTAAACAAGCCCAGACAGCATGTTAATAAAGTATAGTTGTACCACGGTACCGGCTGTTTATAGTTACCGGTTTTGTAAAGTATAGTTGTACCACAGTATCGGCTGGTTATAGTTACCAGTTTTGTAAAGTATAGTTGTACACGGTATCGGCTGGTTATAGTTACCGGTTTTGTAAAGTATAGTTGTACCACGGTATCGGCTGGTTATAGTTACCGGTTTTGTAAAGTATAGTTGTCGAACAGTACCGGCTGGTTATAGTTACCGGTTTTGTAAAGTATAGATGTACCACAGTACCGGCTGGTTATAGTTACCGGTTTTGTAAAGTATAGATGTACCACAGTACCGGCTGGGTTTAGTTACCGGGTTTGTAAAGTATAGTTGTACCACAGTACCGGCTGGTTATAGTTACCGGTTTTGTAAAGTATAGTTGTACCACAGTATCGGCTGGTTATAGTTACCGGTT